GGGTTCCTTGGAGCTATCGCATTCACAGGACCTCTGAGTCAAACTTGAGTGGTGACAATACTTCATCAGCCTTTTGATGCCTGAGGGGTAAAGAAAACTATATATAGAAGCAAAGCTGTCAAAGCTGTATTTGGGTTTGAACTTTAATTTTAAGTATACATGAATTCATGTTGTTGCTGTTTATGGGCTGGAAGTACCCAAGCTAAGTATATAAAAATAAGATTAATCATATCTGGTCAAAACAACTTTACTTGTGCAGACAATCTGATATTTATACAGTGCAGCACTTTACAGTGAATTGCTGGTTATTGCATCAACAGTTGTTCAGACTGAGTATATGAAAATGTTTCTGCTAAGACCTTCTGACTGCTTCTGACTGCTTCAGACCATTCGCTACAAATAAATCTGGTGGTGAAGGAAAAATGTACGAGGAGCAGGCTGGCAGATGGACTGGTTCTTATATAGCGCTTTTCTACTCTTTCTGAGCACTCAAAGCGCTGTACACAACTTTTACATTCACACAAGCACATTTTTCTAAGTGCTTTCTAAGTAACATTCACACACACATTCATACTCCGATGGATGCATCGGAGAGCAATTTGGGGTTAGTATCTTGCCCAAGGATATTTGGCATGCAGACTGGGGAAGCCAGGGATCGAACCACCAACCTTCCGATCAGTAGATGACCTGCTCTACCACCTGAGCTACAGCCACCCCGCAGATGATTCCTCGGTCACAAACAAATGTTAGCGTTGCTAAGGAGACTGATAAAGCACATGTCAGTAATAAAAACTACTAAAAACTTAATTGATCTAATTTCCTCGAGCAAAAAAAGCATTAAAATCTCAGGCTGGGGGAAGTTTTCTGCCTGGGATATGTATGCTTTTTTTGATGGAGGAAGTTTTCATTTTAAATCAAAGTACCGTGTATGCCACAGACAGTACAAACGATTGATGTAGCTACCGTGATGCCATCCGTTTGCTCTCTGAAGTTCTGTTTTGATTGTGTTTGGTGATGCGAGGGGGCAGAGACCTAATGCCTTTTTGCAGCAACACCTGTAGCCATATGGTGGCTAAGACACACTGGCTTCATTTTTCTGACCCAGAAGCTACGTCCATGTTTTATACCGTCTGTGGCTTATGCGTGGCCTTATAAATAAAGGGGATTTTAGCCCGGGTCAGAGTGGATCAGGGTGAAAGGTGATCATACTTACATGTACTCGCGGTGCGCTGAGTGGACAGCTGCGGCGTTGCTGTATCGCCACAATACAATCACAGATGACAACACATCCAGCGTGGCATCAAACTGCAAAGTGTAAACATTGGTAATTGGGAATTCTATCACCACAATTTCTACTTTTAATAAAGTAGAGTGTTTACTCTGGACTTACGGCAAATCCAAAAGCTGAAGCACTGTGGCGCGTGATAGAAACAGCTAAAGAGAAAAGAGAAAAACTTTTACTGCACTGTTCACGTTCATCTTCACATCAGAAATAATCATTTGTGCTTGTAACTGCTGTAAGCACAGAGTCAGTCTGTGATCGTTTCATTTAAAGTAGAGATATCTGATTTTTGCTCCAGTCTATTTCACTGCAGCAATGATTATTATTATAATTATTTCTAGTTTCTGCAGAGAACCTGCTGGATTGAAAAACAAGCACCGTTTTGACTGGCTAATTTAACATCTGCCTTTTTATTTGGATTAATTAAGCTGTAGAAATGGTCAAAACAAACACTAAACAGCACAGTTATATGCATCCACACACACCTGCAACGGGAGTGAATGAGGAGAGAAGGAAGAAGAGACAAAGGAGAGAAAGATGCACAGAGATAGACAGGAGGAGAGGAATCCTCCCACGTTTATTTTTAGCAAGACTCACAGGGGGCTAGCAGCTCGCCTCAGCCCTGCATGCAGAAACACAGCGCTGTGTGGTATCACTTTCTCTCTTTTCCCCTTTAGCAACACATTCTAGTTGCTGCAAAAACAGCAAAAATCTTTTCTTTCTCCTATCCCTTTTTGCAGTCTGAGCTCCCTTTATTTTCCCCTCCAGCCTCCCAAGCTCCCCTCTCATCCATCTTCACTTTTCCTCTTATTGTTTCATCTACATTCGGTTGTTCTCTCTAGGCTGAAGGCACAATCACCCGCTCGCTTGCAACAGCTCAGACTGAAACGAGAACAGAAACAGATGCTGCATCCACATTCTCCTGCACGCAGTTAAGCAAACATCGCCAACCCTTGAATACAAATGATCGGAAGGGATACTGTTCTGACACCTGAAATGTGCAGAGATGCACAGAGTATCAGCAGCAGACCTGTTGTCATTCCTTCTTGGTGTGTAACTTTATGCTCACCAAAAAATACTGAACATGGCTCACACATTAAAAGTATGGCCTCCAAACTGCATTCTAACTAATGCAGTTTGGCATGTATTTACTGATGATGCCCTCAGCTGAAGCAAATGCTCCCTGACACGTTATAACCTTACATATGTGTAACTAAGTCAAGGGCGTAGATTTGGCATGGACGGAAGGGACATGTCCCCACCAATAT